TACTATACACTTATGTGTGTTTTCTACCTTACCGTACATTTATATGTATTATCTACCTTACCATACACTTATATGTGTTATCTACCTTACCATACACATATATGTGTTATCTACCTTACCATAAACTTGTATGTGTATCTACTTAATATACACTTGTATGTGTTATCTACCTTCCCATACACTTATATGTGTTATCTACCTTACGTTACACTAATAAGTGTCATCTTCCTTACTTTACACTTATGTGTGTTTTCTACCTTACTATACACTTGTATTCGTTATCTACCTTACCATACACTTGTATGTGTTATCTACCTTACCATACACTTGTATGTATTATCTACCTTTCCATACACTTATATGTGTTTTCTACTTTACCATACTCTTGTATGTGTTATCTACCTTACCATACACTTATATGTTTATATACCTTACCATACACTTGTACGTGTTATCTACCTTACCATACACTTATATGTGTTATCTACCTTACCATACACTTGCATGTGCTATTTACCTTACCATACACTTATATGTGTTATCTACCTGACCATACACTTGTATGTGTTATCTACCTTACAGTACACTTGTATGTGTTATCTATCAACCATACACGTGTAAGTGTTATCTACCTTACCATACACTTGTATGTGGTATCTATCTTACCATACACTTGTACTTGTTATCTATCTTCCTTTACACTTGTGCTTGTTATCTACCTTACCATACACTTGTATGTGTATCTACCTACTATACACTTGCATGTGTTATCTACCTTACCATTCACAAGCACGTGTTATCTACCATATCATACACTTGTATGTGTTATCTACCTTACCATATACTTGTATATCTTATCTACCTTACCATACACTTGTATGTCTTATCTACCTTATCATACACTTGTATGAGTTATCTACCTTCCCATACACTTGTATGTGTTATCTACCTTACCATATACTTGTATGTCTTATCTACCTTACCATACACTTGTATGTCTTATCTACCTTATCATACACTTGTATGAGTTATCTACCTTACCATACACTTGTATGTGTTATCTACCTTATCATACACTTGTATGTGTTATCTACCTTACCATATACATGTATGTGTTATCTACCTTACCATACATTTGTATGTGTTATCTACCTTGCCATACACTTATATGTGTTTTCTACTTTACCATACTCTTGTATGTGTTATCTACCTTACCACACACTTATATGTTTACATTCCTTACCATACACTTGTACGTGTTATCTACCTTACCATACACTTGCATGTGCTATTTACCTTACCATACACTTATATGTGTTATCTACCTTACCATACACTTGTATGTGTTATCTACCTTACCATATACTTGTATGTGTTATCTTCCTTACCATATACTTGTATGTGTTATCTTCCTTACCATATACTTGTATGTGTTATCTCCCTTACCATACATTTGTATGTGTTATCTTCCTTACCATGTACTTGTATGTGTTATTTATATGTGTTATCTACCTTACCATACATTCTTATGTATTATTTGTATGTGTTATCTACCTTACCATACATTCTTATGTATTATCTACCTTATATGTGTTATCTACCTTACCATACATTCTTATGTATTATCTACCTTATATGTGTTATCTACCTTACCATACATTCTTATGTATTATTTGTATGTGTTATCTACCTTACCATACTCTTGTATGTGTTATCTCCCTTACCATACATTTGTATGTGTTATCTTCCTTACCATATACTTGTATGTGTTATCTTCCTTACCATACATTTGTATGTGTTATCTTCCTTACCATATACTTGTATGTGTTATCTTCCTTACCGTATACTTGTATGTGTTATCTACCTTACTAACATTTTTATATGTTGTCTACCTTGCCATACATTTGTATCTGTTATCTACCTTACTAGCATTTTTATATGTTGTCTACCTTGCCATACATTTGTATCTGTTATCTACCTTACTAACATTTTTATATGTTCTCTACCTTGCCATACATTTGTATGTGTTATCTACCTTACTAACATTTTTATATGTTGTCTACCTTACCATATACTTGTATGTGTTATCTTCCTTACCATACATTTGTATGTGTTATCTACCTTACTAACATTTTTATATGTTGTCTACCTTGCCATACATTTGTATCTGTTATCTACCTTACTAGCATTTTTATATGTTGTCTACCTTGCCATACATTTGTATCTGTTATCTACCTTACTAGCATTTTTATATGTTGTCTACCTTGCCATACATTTGTATCTGTTATCTACCTTACTAGCATTTTTATATGTTGTCTACCTTGCCATACATTTGTATCTGTTATCTACCTTACTAACATTTTTATATGTTGTCTACCTTGCCATACATTTGTATCTGTTATCTACCTTACTAACATTTTTATATGTTGTCTACCTTGCCATACATTTGTATCTGTTATCTACCTTACTAGCATTTTTATATGTTGTCTACCTTGCCATACATTTGTATCTGTTATCTACCTTACTAACATTTTTATATGTTGTCTACCTTGCCATACATTTGTATCTGTTATCTACCTTACTAGCATTTTTATATGTTGTCTACCTTGCCATACATTTGTATCTGTTATCTACCTTACTAGCATTTTTATATGTTGTCTACCTTGCCATACATTTGTATCTGTTATCTACCTTACTAACATTTTTATATGTTGTCTACCTTGCCATACATTTGTATCTGTTATCTACCTTACTAGCATTTTTATATGTTGTCTACCTTGCCATACATTTGTATCTGTTATCTACCTTACTAGCATTTTTATATGTTGTCTACCTTGCCATACATTTGTATCTGTTATCTACCTTACCATACATTTTTATGTGTTATCTACCTTACCATACATTCTTATGTATTATCTACCTTACCATACATTTGTATGTGTTATCTACCTTTTGCCATACATTTTTTATGTGTTATCTACCTTACCATACCTTTTTATGTGTTATCTACCTTACCATACATTTGTATGTGTTATCTACCTTACCATATACTTGTATGTGTTATCTACCTTACCATACATTTTTATGTGTCATCTACCTTACCATACATTTGTATGTGTTATCTACCTTACCGTACACTTGTATGTGCTATCTACCTTACTATACATTTTTATGTGTTATCTACCTTACCATACATTCTTATGTATTATTTGTATGTGTTATCTACCTTACCATACACTTGTATGTGTTATCTACCTTGCCATATACTTGTATGTGTTATCTACCTTACCATACACTTGTATGTGTTATCTACCTTGCCATATACTTGTATGTGTTATCTACCTTACCATACACTTGTATGTGTTATCTTCCTTACCATATACTTGTATGTGTTATCTTCCTTACCATACATTTGTATGTGTTATCTACCTTACCGTACACTTTTATGTGCTATCTACCTTACCATACATTTTTATGTGTTATCTACCTTGCCATACATTTGTATCTGTTATCTACCTTACCATACATTTTTATGTGTTATCTACCTTACCATACAATAGTATGTGTTATCTACCTTACCGTACACCTATATGTGTTATCTACTTTGCCATACACTTACATTTGTTATCGTGTGATCTACATTTCTCTTTACTTGTATATATATATTTGTTGATCTGACTGACAAATGTGTATTTAACTATATACGTGTATTTTGAATCGACTGACCATACTTATAGTATACGTTAAGCCTATATATTATACATTTTATATACGCTTACCATACTATACACTGTAATATAGACTTACCATACTATACACGTTTTATAGACTTACCCTACTATACACTGTTTTATAGACTTACCCTACTATACACTGTTTTATAGATTTACCATACTATACACTGTTATGTAGATTGACCATATTATACACTGTTATGTAGATTTACCATACGATACACTGTGTTATAGACTTACCATACGATACGCTGTTATGCAGATTTACCATACGATACACTGTTTTATAGATTTACCATACTATACACTGTTATGTAGATTTACCATACTATACACTGTTATGTAGATTTACCATTCTATACACTGTTATGTAGATTTACCATTCTATACACTGTGTTATAGACTTACCATACGATACACTGTTATGTAGATTGACCATATTATACACTGTGTTATAGACTTACCATACGATACACTGTTATGCAGATTAACCATACGATACACTGTTTTATAGATTTACCATACTATACATTGTTTTATAGATTTACCATACTATATACACTGTTTTATAAACTTACCATACTATACACTGTTTTATAGACTTACCATACTATACACTGTTTTATAGACTTACCATACGATACACTGTTATATAGACTTACCATACCATTCTATAGAATTATGGACTTTTGTGCTGGTGAATATGATGTGATATGAACCTGGCTAAGTGATATTGACCGAAGCGTAGCCGAGGTCAATATCACTTTTCAGGTTCATATCACATCATATTTACCAGCACAAAAGCCCATAACTTTTTTTATTATATGCCCCAACAAAGGGATTTTGTATAGTTAACATTTACTTGAACGAGCCTCCGTGTAAAATGTAGCCAGAGTTGAATCCAACAGTTCGGTTTTCGGAGACATCGTTAAGATTCTTTTATGGAGGACACGCACTGCTTTCGGTGTCCTTTTTGTGTTACCTGCATCTTTATCTTCAAGTAGTTTGGAACTTTTCAGATGTTACGGAGGCGAAGAGTTCGCCAACCACCATCATCTGTTTTCGTCTGACATATTGCGTTCCGGTCTAACTGCGCAAGCGCTACGACAGGTTCCGGGGAATTTTCATATAGGCTATATTTAGAAATTGATATTCACCGGATAACCAGTCTACATGAGTTTTTGAGGACTGGTCACGTGTATAGGATCCGGCCAATGTGATTGCGAGAAAATTTCAAGCACATACTAAATTGTTATATAGACTTACCATACGGCCGGCGTCGTTGTTATGAAGTTGTATTATTGTCGTTATGTCGCCTCGTCTCTTCTTTTTCCTTGCGTCCATAAATTCCTTAGACTTTTTGTAGCCGAAATCGACGTTATCCCCACACCCTCCCCACTCCCACTCCCCATCCGTCGTGATGTCCTGTATGTTATTGTCGCACGTGCATTGCAGTAGATTGCCCATGCTGCATGCCTCCGTCACAGCATACACCACTCCGGCTGCTGTCACCGCGTACACGAACGCAGACTCGCGCGTGTCTGAAACAAGAGAGATAAACCGATGTACGCACAGCTATAACATGTACACCGTAGGACTTATGCTAATTTACCTCCTAGTTTTCACCCATTAGCATCAAATTCATGTTTCAATATATAAATATATAAAGACAAAATGGCAAAACGGTTGAATACTTATGTCATGTATGGGCAGTTCTGTAACGTAAACATAGATAGCTATGCAGGTTTTGCTAATTTTACATATCAGTAGAATCGACCAAACAGACTCACAGTCTCGTGAAATATAAATTTTAGCACCAAAACTAGCTAGTAGAACACATATAGCAAATAAAATAAATAGAAGGAGGGACAAATGTATATTATAAATGTTAACAAATACAAAAAGTACATTTCAACCACGTGATTGCCATATTACAGGAATTGAAACTGCACGAAGTCGCTTATTTTTTTATATTAGTTTTTTTAAGACTTCGATTACTGTCTTATTGAAACTAGGCTACGTAAAACAGGAAACACGCATATTTTTCAAATCAAGTTTATGGACAAATAAGTCGTTTAGATTTGAGGGGATGATCAGCATGTAATCCCGACGCCTTGGGATGTGTTACTAAAACTCCGGGTACAAACGTAATGCTTAAGGGAGCCTAACTACCTAAGCCTCTAGATCTGTTTCCGCAATGTTTCCTTCTTGACTTGTGTTAAAACAAAATTATCTTGATCGTTGGTGTCGGTTTCAGAAAAAAATCAATCCTGACCGACATTATCCGGTTCTAGCCTTTTTTTAAAATAAATGTTCCTGTACTTGAGATATTTTGTAAAATATTTATTTTAGCTGAAAGAAAATAGTTTACCAAATACTTTTCGAAAGATTTCAGTTTCTGAAATTGAGAAGTTCGGATTCGACACTGGCCTGAAATTTTATGAGGTTCGTAGGAATATAACAGTATGAGACCGTATAGCTTCTGTAGGCTTAGCTTGGTATATGTTGATGTTTCCAAGACTGGTTCGCCCGTTGTCAGTATAATGTGACCGGGTGGGGTGTCCTGCTGGGCGTCTTCGGCATTATGTTTCAGTGAGGTAGCACTATAAAGTCGGCATCAGTTCCGCGCTATCACAAGGAGACAAACACGAACATATGGCAGCCTCCCAAAACACATACGCATACACTACACGCATGCGTCTT